GGGTGCTGGCACAGTTAGTTAGACCTGGCTTCTTGGAATCAGGGGGTGCTAAATGATTATGTACGGTAGCAAATGAATTCACTCTTGCTTCCTCGAGTTTTGCCAGTTGTAAAGAAATCCTTGCTTTGAAAGAAGGAATATTTTGCTGCCTTTGATCTGCTCCCGCTGGTGTGGGGCTGGTGGTGTAGAACTGCCTCACGGTCCTGTGCACAGGAAACTGAAGATGGAGTGTCTCACCCATCGTTTCCAGCTTCAGGGTGGCGAGTGGTTGGTCTCCATCAAATAACTGGCTGTCAGCGTACAAGAAGCCTGGAGATGGAGGCAGGGGAAATGGAGAAGAAATGAGTTAGCAATAGGATGTCAAGACATAAATAAAAGTGGGCCTGTGTGGAGGTTCCGTTGCACCGCCAGGGGGAGGACAGAGAGTGTGTACTTGGAGAGATCGGGAGGCCACACTCGCAAATGAAAATCCCGTCTGGGGCCTCTTGCCAAGCCCTGTCCCCAAGAACAGGATGAGCTCTGACACGGCTCCGAGGTGCTTGATGCATGGACCATTTCCATCTCTCTGGGGAAAGCGGCATGTGAACAGCATTTTGGAGCCGGCCTCAGGCGACGGCATGATTTCTATTCCCCAGAGCAGGCAAGAGCTGACCTCCTCCCAGGGTCCCTGGAGCAGCTGCTGGCCGGGCAGGTGGGCACCGTGAAGAAGCTGCTGCCTGTGTCTGGACTGCTCCCTCTCTCCAGCTCCCCTCTCGGCCCTTGCCAGGACACGTACCTCCCTGTCCCGCACTTAGGCAGCTTCTACTGACTTTGACCTTTTGCCCTCACTGTTCTCCATCACCACGATGATCTGAACCTCAGCCTTCCATCAAACTTCAGGCAGGGAACTGGAGCGGGGTCCAGCCAGGACTCTGGCTGATGGGCGAGTGCCAAGTCAGGGGCCTGGAACAAGAACAGAGTCCTCTGCCACCCTCAAGGGTCCAGGAGGAAAGGGCCAGGGAAGGAAGTCTGAGCCAGAATCCTCAGGCCCAGAGAGCCATGAGGGAAGAGGAACTAGAGTGTGGCAGTCAAGTCCAGAGGGCAGGACAGGTAGGCAGGACCGAGGGTCCAGAGCTGTGCAGACAGGACTGGAACATGAGCAGAATGGGGAGAAAAGAGAGCCAGATCTTAGCGTTTGGCACCTCCCCAGCTGGCCAGCGCTGGGCAGTGGAGGGTCAGGAGTGCGCTCCTTTCCACCCACTCTGCCTTGCCCCCGGCTCACATCCCCTCTTTCCCTCGAGATATCCTCCCTGCTGAGCTATGACCACCAGTTTTGTGTGCAAAGCCAGCGCTTCTCTGTTGTTTCTTCTCTGTTTCAGATCGTGGCCATCAGAATAGTGACCAAAATTGGACCATGAGTCTAAGTGCTCCAGGGTCACTTTCTGCACAACTGTTTGTTTATTCATTCATATTCTCCTACTCGTTCCCTCTTCTTCTCTTTCTTTCTCTTTCTCTCCCCCACATCCGGCACCAATCATTTGTTCACTATATATACACATACACATGCCACTGTGTAATAATTTCATCTTTGGCTGCAGAGATTAGCACGCCTGTCTAGCACCTTCTCTGAGCTTCCCAAGGTCAGAGGCTTTCTTCATTTGAAGTCATCCCAGCCCTAGCGAAGGATCTGGCACATACTGTTTGCACAATAAATGTTTTGGAGGGTCGGTCAGCCTCATGGCGGAATGAATACATGAGTGGCACCAACGTTTATCTTACTTTTCTAACTGCCTCCCAGGATTTGGTAATAGCTGGATTTATTTTATTTTTTACATAAACATACAGTATGTATCAGTCAGTATCAAAGCAGGAATAAGAAACCACACAGTAATTTCAATAGAGATAGTTTAAGATAAAGAGTTGTTAACTATAATAGATACCGTCATAGAAGGGATCAGCTAGTAAGATGTAAAGAGAACTCTAAAGAATACTAGTCACACTAGATAGTAAGTAGGTAGACATAACATGACTTATGTCACGTTGAAGGTGGATATAACGGGACTCTCGTCTGTTTGTCCCCGATAGTTCTTCCACGTGGGTCCTGCTCAGTTACCATGTTGAAGCAGAGTGAATTGAATCAGGGCCTGTGGTGACCAGACTGGATACGATGTGCCATCTCCAGAAAGTCATCCTGAGAAATGGGGGCAGGGGAGTGATTGTGCCGTGCGTGGTAGCAAGGCGTTTGGGACCCCTGCTACCTAGATGAGGCTTGTTTTGTAAATGGGAGATTCCCTTATCTGTGACATCGCCTGTTTGTTTTTCCCTTCAGTGTTAATACTTTGAAGGGTCAGGAAATAGGAAACAACCCCATTAAGCGGGAGTTGCTGAGGGCTCCGTGCGCAGCTGACAGCAAGAGTGGAACTGCAAGATAATGGGGCTGATACCGGCCCCAGCCAATTCTTCTCCCCTTTGCAAAGCGCTGAATGACAAGCAGATTTCTCAGCTCCAAGCAGGCAGTCTCATTCAGATGATGAATGTGTCCCCGGACGGAGGAGCTTGCTGAGTGATATTTACCAGGGTCTCTGTGAAGGGGCCTCAGTTCCCAAGGGAGCATTTCAAGCCCTCGCCTGTTCAGCTGACATCCATGGGGTGGTGAGAGGAATAAAAGCTCTCCAGCATGATGGAAGCCCTGGTGATTTGTTTAGATGCTAGAAGTTTCTTGATTTCTCTTGCTTCCTGTATTCAGCCCCTCCCTCTCATAGTCAAACCCCCGCGGAGAGAAGCATGGAGTCTGTGAGAAGCTTAGAGGCTTAAAGGAGGAGAGGTGGGAGGTCAGCAAGTGCCACAGACCAGAGCCGGGCTCAGACCCAGCTCTGCCACCTACTGCTCCTGGGCCGAGTTCCCTGGCTTCTCCAAACCTCCATCTCCTCAGGTGTGATATGGCGACAATACAAGCTGACTCACGGGGTTGTCACAGAGATAAAATCGAATCTGTATAAAAACACTTTGCACATTATAAAATGCTCTCTCCAGCATAAGTCATTCATTCATTTAGCAAATCCTTGCTGTATACCTACTGTGCGCCAGTTCCAGACAGTACAGCTGGGAAGAAGAGCAGGCTGATAGCCAGGACCCTACCAGCCGCCAGCATGGCACTGAGATAATCACCAGGTGTTTTGTCTGCGTTCGCCAGAGAAACAGAACCAGTAGAAGATAGACACACACATATACATACACATAAATAGAATATATTCGTATATGCCAAATACATATAAATAGGATGTGTTTGTATATATTTATTTATATAGAGGATAAAAGAGGTTTACTATGAGGAATTGGCTCACACAGTTATGGAGGCTGAGAAGTCCCAGGATCTGCAGCAGCGAGCTGGGGACCAAAGAGAGCCAGTGGTGTCAGTTCCAGTTCAAGTCCAAGTCTGAATGCAGAGGACTGATGCCCCAGCTTGAAGACGGGACAGAGAGTGATTCTCCTTTACCCCACCTTTTTGTTCTGTTCGGGCCTTCAGTGGATTGGTGGCTGGGGCACACTTCCTCTGAGGGAGGAGGCATCTGCTTTATCCAGTCCACCAACTCCATTGTTAATCTCATCCAGAAACCCTCACAAACACTGCCAGAATAATGTTTAGTCAAATATCTGGGCACCCCGTGGGCCAGTCAAGTTGACATAAAATTACCCGCCACGCCAGGGTTGATGTTCACATAGAGCATTCAAATTTCTGTGGCTGCTTTACATGCTGTGTCTCATTTGGCCACCAGAATGACCCAGTGAGGGGCTTATTACCTTTCTCTGTCATAGGCATCGCCAGCTGGGCCATTTGAAGTGGGCCACGCTTGCCTTAAACCCAAATCTCCATGCACCCAGGACTCTGCCCTCTCAGTGACAGGAAGCCTGCTCTTTCCAGAGTCCCTCTCACCCAGCATGTGGGAGGACTGTGGGTCTGTCTTCCGTCCCCAGTGCCCTGGTGCTCTCCACTTGTCCACACACGGGTCCTTAGTGAGCAGGGCGGTTTAGAAGAATCGTCCCACAAGCTGAGAGTTATCTGTGGAGCACATCCCATTCAGCATCTCACAAAGTCTGAGCATAATCTTGATGCCAAAGGAAGGTAGGGCTCGACGTAGAGATGTGCCTTTGCTGGGCCTCGGCCAGTCGTGAGGCGCGGTGTGGGCTGGAGGGGATGGCTGCAGGTGGCAGCACGCCCATAGACATGTTGGCCTTGTCCTGCCGTCCGTGTCTCCTCAGGGCACAGTGCCTGACTTAAAATAAGCCTTTTGTCATTTTAACCATGCCGACGAATCAAGGCATTTTTGGGTATTTCTGTTTACTTAAAGCCCCTTGTGAGATATTCTATTAAAGTGTGTCAGAGGGGAAATGTGAATTTATTAATTCAAAGATGGTTGCTGCTCATGCTGAGCTTGGAAAATGGGCCACATCAACAGCGTTTCTCAAGTTCACACGTAAAACAATGCCCGCTCCGCCTGGCACTGCAGCTCCCGTGAGCATGTCTGTCTCCTCACCCGCAGAAGGCCTTTTTAGGCTGCACGTCCCTGGGGCCTAGGATGGTACCTGGCACAATTTAGGCGCCTAGTCACTGCTTCTGGCGTGGACTGAACTTGTTCTGGGAGGATTGTCGCGGCTGCACTAGCCTCAGCTCTGCTCTGAGAAGAGTGCCTGCCGGCCCAGCACAGCACGTCACTGCGCGTGTGTCGTGCACGTGCCAGTCGCTGGGGAAGCACTGCTTGCTCACACGGCTCCTGCCACAGAGAGTTTGCAGCCAAGTGAGGGGTGACAGGCCATGAACACCCAACCCAGTTCATCTTGAGAAGCAGTGGTCAAGCGAGGTTCAGGAACAGGGCCTCAGGGATGCTGAGGAGGGTGTGGGACAATGCCAGCATCAGTACTAGGGGTTCATTGGGTGGCGGAATGGCACGGGACTCTCAGATGACTTCCATAGCTCAACAATTCCTTTCTCTGAGTGGCTTTTTCTGCAATTTTTCCTGCAGGGCCTGTGCCAGCAGCGAGACAGAGAGCGAAGCCGGAGACATCATGGACCAGCAGTTCGAAGAGATGAACAACAAACTCAACTCAGTCACGGACCCCACTGGCTTTCTGCGGATGGTTCGCCGCAATAACCTCTTTAACAGGTGCGTGTGGGCTCCTTCCCCAGGCCCGGTGCAGGGCAGGGTGCCCTGAGCACAGATGATGTGCTTTCAGTGGGTGCTCTTCCCAGCCGGTTCGGCTTCTGGCTCGTGTCACGCGTCTGCAGAAGCAAGCGTGATGCTTCCACGGCCCTACGCTCGTCAGGGCCTCTGCTTCACACCAGCACCTCCAGCTCAAGTGAGAAACAGTGACAGGCTTGATGTGATAATCCTCGTTTGGCTGGGATGGGAGGCCCAGGGGACGGTTGGCTGCTTCTTCACATAGCCTCAAAGCTGACTTCCCAAACACCGGGCAGAAGCTAGACAGAGTAGCTTCGCGTACGTCTTTGCCAGCTTCTGCAAGTAACTCGTGAGCCAGACACCCTTGTTGACTTCCTGGCCTGAGATTCAGAGGGGTCAGGGAGAGCAGAGATGCCAGCGTTGTTGGAGGGAGAAACCGGGCCTAGGAAGGCGCTCGTCCAGACCCGGGTTTGCCTGTCTGCCCTGAGACCTCAGTTCCTTACGATGTGACCAAATAGGACTTAATGGCCTCAGGACAAGTTGCAGTTGAAATGATCAAGCCAGCACACCCCTGCATCTTTTAATCGGGAGTGATATGCAAGCTGGGTCCAGATAAACAGGAGCAGGTGGCCGGAGTGGAGGGGCACTTGTCCCACTGTGATTTGGTTGCATGGCAACAACATGGGGATACATTTTGATAGACCTCTCCAGAAACACGTCCCAGACTCTCCAGGTCCCTGCCACAGCCGAGGCCCTGCCTTTAAAGGGCAGCCGGTTGACCCTGGAGCGCAGAGGAAAGTGGCCGTGCACTGCGTAGGAGGCAGCCTCTGCTTGGCAGCCCCGCTGCGCAGGCATTGTGTGCCCTGTCTGTCCTACTCCAGGCCGTGGTTTCCTCTCATTATTGTGCTGTCCGGGTGACAAACGTGTGTTTACTTTCCCAGAGCTGGGCTGAGGAGGAAAGGAGCCAAGCGCCAGGGATGGAGGAACTGGCAGCTTGGTCGAAAGGAGGCCAAAGCTTCAAGCTGGTTCAGCCCCAGTTCCTTCTTCCCTCCCACCCTCGCAGGTGTCCATCATGGCTTTTGGTTTCATGTGGGGACATGACAAAGTCTGAGAAGGCCTGGGGTTGGCCCTGGGCTCACATCCTTGCTCTGTCAACTTCCTGGCCAATGAGGCAGGCGATGCTCAACTCCACCAGGTGATGTGATTTGTGGTTATAAACTAGAAGCGCTAAGGGCCTCGGCTTCTGGCCTTGTTGCCTAGTAGCTGTATGACATTGGGCAGGCAGTTTCGCTACTGTCAGCCTCAGTTTCCTTGTCTCTGAAATGGGGACAGACTTCCTACCCTGCAGGTTTCCTTTAATGTGGGAATTAAAGGAGCTGACCAACTTCCTCATGCATAAAAGGCACTATACACCTGATGGTACTCTACAGTGTTGAGTAAAGTGGAAAGAACAATGCTAAACTTGAATTCCTAAGATAACGTGGGTGGACAAACTTTGGAAGGGATGAGATTTCTGTGATGTGCTGGTGCAGCAGGTGTTGGCTGCCTTGGATGGCAGCCTGTCCTACTTCATGTCCTCCACATGAGGGCGCTGCCAAAACAGACCGTCAGGCATCCATGGAGACCCGGTCACAGGTGCTGTAGCGGTCTGGAGCCAGTCCCGCTGGGGCTCAGGCACTACAGAAGGAAAGGAGCAAACCAGGTATATCTGGGACCCTAGCTTATCAACCCTGGGCCCGAGAGGTGGTGTGAATTTTGGGTGGTGGAGTTGCTCATTTGGGGAAGATGTTTTTTGTCCCTCCTAGCAGCCCTGAGATAGATGCTATGAACACAATACTATGCATTAATTTGCTGGTTCATTTAAATAATACAATCTGTGCTCCCAGCCAGGCTGAGTACTGGTCCAAGCCCTGGGGACCTGGCAGGGAGCAAGAGCAGCAAGGTCCACAGCACTGGACCCTGGACCCTGGACCCAGCTGCCCAGCCGCTCTGCACCCAGCTCCCTTGGCAGGGTCTGACCCAGCTCAGGACCCCAGTTGCACCTGCAGGAAAACAAAGCAGTTGGAAGGGATCTCTGCAGAGCCTTCCAACCTTGGACTCCTAGAGGGTACCAAGGGCAGACTGGATGAGGGAAACGGCCTGCATTCTTTCCTCTTCAATGCTGCGAGCCCTTAACACACACCGTGTGTTCTCTGCTCCCTTCCTGACAAGCCCAGAAAGAGGGAGCTCTGGACTGCATCTGCAAGGGAGCAGAGCTGCAGCTGAGCAAAGCGTGGAGGCAAAGGTCTCCTTGTTAGTTAGAACAGCGTGAGCTCTCACAGCCTTCTGGAGCAGCCTCCCATCTTACAGACGAGCACACACATGCCAGGGATGATGGAGACCTGCCCGGGAGCAGGTGCCAAAACTGGATTTCAGGACATGCCTCCCAGCTGCCCTGCCAGCCTCTCCCCTGCCCTGCTGTCGGGTCCCAGGCCTCCCTCTCTGCTCCTTCCATGACTAGGGATCTGTGCTAAGGGGTGCGCTGGCTTGTCACTGAACAGAACAGTTAAAAAGGGTTAAAAAGTAGCTTTTCCATAGACTCATGACAGTGACTAGCATTTGCAGAGCGCTGTCGCCTGGAGCCCGCAGAGGTGAAGTGGAAGCAGCCATGTGCACAGGGCCTTGTTTGCTGGAGCAGCACTGGCTCTGTCTCCAGGGACTCTCCAGCTCGATGATTTTGTGGATTCCATGTCCCTTTTGTTCCTGGGCAGTTTGCAGCCTGGTTTGGCAATGAGGCTGTTGTAGTTAATGCAAGTCAAGTGAGACTTGGCTTTAGATTTTTCTCTGTTGCCACTCTAGGAATTGGTCTTTGTTCTGCCATTGTTTTTGAGGTCTCTGCAACCACTATTTTTCTTCTTGCTTGCGCACTTTGGCAGAAAACACATTGTATTTGGTACCCAGGGCGGGCACCACTCTTGAATATAAAACAAGGACCCTTCTCTCGGCTAGCATCCTGACCCTGGCGTGGGCCCCAGCGGGCAGAACAGCAGCCCTAGACTGGCAGGGCTGAGGACTGGCAGGCCAGCACATGCATGTCCAGGGGTGGGGAGTAACTGTGGGAATGTTTGTATGTGTTTTTGTGTTCGGGGCGTGTACATTTGCTGCATATGTATGTGGGGGGTGTGGTTGGTGTGTATGTGTGTGACTGAACCTGGGGGCAGTCAGCAGATCACATTTGCTGCAACAAAGAAGAGGAAGACCAGTGCAGGCCTTTGCCAGCAGCCTGGATTCTAGACCCCAGGGCAGTGCCTGACATTAAAGGTGCACCTGTCCAGGGTCATTTAGGACGAGTATCCCAGAGAAACAGCCTGACTTCTGTTGCCTGTACAATGTGCATCCTAGGTTTTAATTTTCCACGTTATGGCTGTGTGTGTGACACGATGCGGAGAGGGGCTTTCCTGTTGCCCAGGGAGCAGTGACCAGAGCCAAAAAGAGCACCAAGAAGTGTTAAGTCTCCCCATTATAAAAAGAGGTGCACAGTGGGGCCAGAGCCCTGCCTCAGGTCTCTGCAGCTCCCCCTAGCACCCGCCACACGCTCCCTCGTCGACTCTCACAGACTGGGCAGAGAATCAGCAGGTGAAAATGCTCTGCCTGGTCAGGGGTCCCCTCAGAAAGTCACTCACAAAGAGCAGCGCCCTGCAGAAAGGGGAGAGAGGCATCTCCATCCCACAGGCCCAGCCTCCCAGGACTGTGGGACAGGGAGAGAAGAAATCAGAGAGAGGGGGGGCCAGCCACAGCATGCTCTACATGCCCATGTTTAGTGTGTGGATGTGTGCGTGTCCTGCTGGGCGGGTCACGTGGCCTCAGCCCCTTCCCGATTCCTCACCCAGGAGAGGCTGTCTGCTGGGCAGGGGAGCTCGGCAGCAAGTTATTGGGTGTGCAGCCAGTAGCAGGGTGGAGGGACCCTGGGACAGCCAGAGGTGGCTCCCACTTCATGGGGTACAGAGAATACCTCTCCCCCTTCTGCCTTCAACACCAGAGGGTCAGGCCCTGACCGTGGGGAGTGCTCCCAGAGCCTGCCCTGGCCTCCGCTTCTGTGAGGGAAAGTCTGGCCTGCAGTGGAGGTGGGAGGGGATGGGGTGACCGCATAGGATATTTCCTAAATGCTTGGGGAAGGGAGAGTCGGCAGGATAAAGTGGAGAGCAATGACTAGAGAGAACCGTCCCCGCAGTCAGCCCGGCCAGTAAGCTCTGCGTTCCTGCCGTGCCGCATCTGCATGGATGTGTGGCTGTGGTTTTTTATAAACACCCTCACGGGCCCTGCTTCAGGACGTATGAAGCGTGCTCAAGCAGTGCTGCGAAGGTGCGGTGTAGACGGGGAGGCGCTGTGCACATGGGTGCTCTGTTGGTCGTTGTATTCCAGGTCTGGGTGCGTTGCTGTGGCGAGGCACACCGTGCGGGGGAGAAATCTTGGGCCCTGGGGCCAGAGAGACCTCCACCCTTTATTAGTGGGCGACCTTCAGCCTTTTATTTTTATCTGGAAAATGAAGGTCCTGATGCCGACTGATGGAGTTGTCACTACATGCAGTGAGTGTGACGATGGCTACATAGATCCACTGTGTAGTAAGTAGCTTCTTTCTCTCCTCACCTTGGGTCTGAGGTTTCTGTGGCACCAAAGGCTCTTTTTTGGGTGCCATAACCAACACTCAAAAGATCAGATCTCCACCCAGAAACCTGATTGGATAGCTCCATGCTTCTTCCTGCTACAACCTCTCTTAGGTTCTAGAAACACTTTGAATAAATGCAGAATGATGACCCAGTCAGACGTCAAGTACAGCCACAGCTGTGGCTCTGAACCCCTGAGGTTCCATACCCAGTTTTCTGGCCAGTGTTATGCCATTCCTGTCCCCTGCTCTTTGTTGGTGGCCCCCTGGCTCCTGGCCCCAACAAGCAGCTGAGTGTTCTCTCCAGCTCTGACCTGGGCCAGCCCCCCGCGCCCACCCATCA